TGTAATAATGTCTGTTAACATTGTTTTATCAATTTATCTTGTTAGGCAAGCCTGCCTCTTGCCAAGCTTTGCGCAATGGTAACCATGCAGAAACAAGGGGAGGCTAATATCCAGACATTCTCCTTGCCACTGGCAGTTCTTGCTGGAGATGAGATGGATGGTATCCGACAGGGTAGAATAAAAGACACTGGTCTGCTTGATGTTATTGTCAAGTACAAACAAGTGAAAGTGGAGCTTACAGCAGAAGTAAAGAAAGAAGATGACAGTCATGTGTGTTTATCATTCGAAGTATTTCGTGCTTGTGGACTACAGGTAAAGAAGCTTCCCTGCTTTCTTCAACTTTTCAGCAAACATGGCGTATAGTGTTAGCTCTAATGGATCCATGTAATTTGGTCTTTATTTTTTAAAGTTGTTGCCTTTGATAATCAATTATTTTATATATATTTTATGTATCATTTTTATATATATTTTATGTATCATTCTTCAATTCCCTAAATCAGTGGACACATTTCTTTTCAAGTTTACAATTTCCCATCCTGTGTCATACGTGGAGTTGGCTGCCTGTTTTAAAATGGTAAAGGTGAAGGAAAAGTCAGCATATCGCTCAGAAGACCCTTGCAGCAGGTGCTTTTACTGTTTCAATGGCATCAAGCAACTTAGGAATATAGCTATTCCCTGCCCCTCAGACAATATGAGCCCTTCTTTGGTTTAGGAGAACAGTTAATGTAAATCAATAGAGAACAAAAAGACAAAAGAATAAGGAAAACAATGAAAACAATATTTTTATTGGCAAAGCAATGTTCCATTGTGGTGTGTCCTGTGTCTTGTAAGAAGGAGCCACAATCTGCCAGTCCATGGCAGGTTTACCATGTGGTATTCTGCTAGGTTTACCTGACAGTTTATTGGGCCTATTTATACTTTGTGGAGAGGGCAATACAAGACTCTTGCCCATCACAGTGACTTACCCAGGGCTTTTGATGTGAAGTCCAGGTGTCGAATGGCAAGGACAACTCAGTGAACAACGTGAACAGTCTTTATTTCCAAACTCGAGCACGAGGAGCCCGCTCTAAGTAACTACAACGTGATGCCTGTAGCCCGTATGTAGTTTCTCTCAGTGGGGGCCTAAGTACAGGTGACAGGCCAACACAGGCACTAAACACTAAACCTCACCTCACCTCTGCCATTAACATTTTTGGGTTGTAGGCAGCAGCAGTTCTTCATGCCAAATCCAACCCCAGCCTTTCCTACCCTGCAGAGGTTGGTGTAAATGCTTATTTGGTAATCCAGGTCCCACTTGGAAAGAAGCACAAACATGTAACGAGGACTGTGGCACGAACATTCACCCCTGAGTTTTCATATAATGCAGACATCTCTTTGCTATTAGTTACACCATCTGGTGTAAATGGCAGAGGAGATTTGAGTTTAGCTGAACAACTTGAAGATTCTGAAGTGGTGTTTGAAGTTTGGTAAGTTTCACAAAAGTTCACAATTTGACATTGGCTCATGAAATTACACATGATAAACTTTTTGGGAACCACGTAGTGTAGACCTGGCACTGATCTGAAATTTTGAAATACCTGGTACTGCGTTAAATATTGAACCACCACTAACATGGAGATATGGGAAAGGTAACCATGTTTATTTGAATAGCTTTGTAAGAGGTTTCCTCAAGTCAAATGAAATAGAAGAGCTTTAATCAAGCACTTGTTTCACTTGTCATTTAAAAGGCAAGTATTTTGTACATTTTGGAAATGTCATAGTTGAAATGGGGAGAGGGAAGAGGAAGATGGTGGATGTTTTGGATTCACGAAGACTAAACACTAGATTTATTCTTGACACAGTGTACTTGAATTTTCCATAAAATTTGTTATGCTGCTTTAAATTAATAACCAGGCATCAAATGTCACGAGAAAGGAGGAGTGACCAGTTGGGTAGATCAGAAGCAGAGACCAACTGTGGAACTCAGAGGGATGTATTACTTGGAGTGGCTAGAGTACCACTTGTTAAACTTCTTGCTCATAACAGAGGTTTGTTGACTCTTTTATATGGTGGGTGGTAAGTTTTTTCATCCCATAAATTGGTTAGACTCATTCAATTTCTCTTCATTCAATTTCTGTTCATATTTATTAAAATTAGTGTATTAATGAACACGAGGGATCTGAGACAATCAGCAGTTTCAAGGGAGTTCTGTTCAGCATATTCCCTTTCTTTTTGTAATTAATGTAAGTGCCTATGTTGGTTAATGATAGATAGTTTTTTTTAATTCAGGTATTAAAGGATGGTTCCCAATACACTGGCCAGGAGAACAGGACACACTTGATGCTTCACCTCATAATGAGATAAACAAGGTTGTTGGAGGGTTGGAACTTGGTATTACTTTCTCCAAAACAGAGGATAGGGATCATGTGATTCATATATCAAGAGGACTTGGCTGGTCTCCACCACCTGAGGTGGATTGTGATGAAGTCTGGTTGGACAGAGAAAAGCTTTCTCTGAACAAGCACTGGACATTTTGTATCAAAATCAGCTCAGCATGGATTCCTTCATCAGAATTAAAACCTTTTTGTGCTTCAGCAAAAACTACAGAGAAGCTCAAGACGAAAGGTTATGCCAGATATAAACTCTACAATAAAGGTAACTGCATAATATATAGGTGTTGCTCACTTCTATGTTGTCTTCCACTGGGATAAATGGTTTCAATGGCAACATGTTTAGGATGTAATGGTTGGAGTCTTTCAAAAGAAATATTACTGGACATGTTTTTTTGCTGAAATTCAAGAACTCCAAGGAAAAGCTGTTAATCAGAATTTTCTATGTGGACAAATTGAGGTGAGAAAACATGGCAGCCTGTTTCCATCCAGTTGTGCACATCCATATACATCTCACCTGGATACTTTAAGGTGCTGTGGCCCACAAAAAGAGTGATTGACTTTTTAACTTTGAAGATTGAACTGACAATTTCTTTTGATATTGATGGATATGTGAGAGGTTTTTCGTCTAAATTCATGCATGTTAATTCTACTACAACCTTTTCAATGGGCAGTGTGTAATATGAGACACACCACACCAAACTGTCAAACTTTGTTTTTGTTGCAGTCTACAGCCAACTTCAGGAAGTCTGTATAGATGACAGCAGTGGTTATGTAATGCCCATAATTTTGACAGTTTCAACCTGGTTTGGTGTGGCAAGAGAACTTTGATAACTCAGTAAACTGTTTTTTCTTGTAGAAAATGAAATAAGACAATCTAATTAACCAAAAGGGAATGACTTGTGTGCCAAAGAACACCACCTAGTTGCGGTCTAAACTGTAATGTACATTGGTATCGAGAAAAAAAAAATTAAATAAATTTCTCATTGTAATGTCTTTTAAAATGCCTGTGATTTTTCTTATTGTTCTTTATTGCAGTTCCCATATGCTCCAGAATGTCTTCTGTGAAAGATTGTGGTGATGATAAATTCATCTGTGAGCTGAAACACTCTAAAGAAATTGTACTACCGGCATCACACTCTCTAAGTTGGCACATGAGGGAAGAGTCTTTGGAGATCCAGCTATGGCTTAGCAGTGGAGGGCAAACTGCAGACACAAAATCTAAAAAGAGGGATAGATTGGTTGGATCAGCGTATTTAGATGTCTCATCATTACTTGCCTCCAAACAAAGGAAACATACTATTAGGCAAATAAGGTGAGAGTTCATTTTCACTTCTGCCAAGATTCTTCTTTTTTGCCTTGTTGTCTGTGTTGAGGTTGTATGTTTTCTTTTTGTTCTAACCATTTGTTTACATGAGATATCTTTAAATAAGACAGCCAATTTATTAATGTGATTATTGAAACAAATAATTGTTTTCCAGTGGGTTGTACCCACTCTTCAGATCTGGGGCAAGTAACTTGTTTGGTGGATGTATCCATGTTCAGTCATTTGTTAAAGTTGAGGATACCAGTGAGCATGAGGTAAGTCCTCAGTACTTTGACGCTCAATAAGTTTTATTTATAAACAAAGAAAAAATTATTATGAAAATAGCATGATGGCAACCTGTAGACTCTGATCTTTATAAACATTTGAATTTTTGTGTGTCTTTTTTAGAAGGGCAATTTTTTCAAAACCAGTTGTAAAATGTACTGGTATATCACATGAAGCTGTGGCATGTTTTTAAAACTTTCTATGCTTGCATTTGAGTCTCATTTCTATCAAAATAATGGGGATGGGAATCTAGCAATGGACATTCGTCTAGGTGGCTCTTCTTGTCCTCTCTTTCCAGACTAGGTTAGAACTTGGAATGTTGGTTTTTGTAGAGGGAGTAAAACTGAAGGACCCAGTGAAAAACCCTCAGAACAAGGGTGAGAACCAACTATGAACTCGCCCTACATGTGACACCAGGTCTGGGAATCAAACATGGGCCACAATGGTGGGAGGCAAGTGTTCTCACCAGTGTGCCATACCAGCCCAAAATTATAATTATTCTCTTTAATTCAGAACTTGTAAAATACCAATAATGCCTGCATCAGTTGATCATTAGTTTTAGATGGTGAAGGTATTATGCAAAGACAGTTTCTCTTTGGAATTCTTTTTTTTGTTTTTGAAAAATGGACACTGCCTTAAAGGGTAAAGGAGTATCTGGTTTGTCTTATAACTTAGTTAAATCAAATGAATTATTGGAACAAGCAATGTGGAGTACTAGTTGGAATGTTTACTTTTGCAAACTATGTTATTAATTTTATTTGTTTGACTTTTGTTTAGTCTTTAAGCTCGGATGAATCCATCGATGCTAGTTCTATTCTTAAGGATCAAACTGCAGACAGCAGATTAAAAATTCCCTATCAAGACCAGGTGTCATCAGTTGAACCGATGCAGCAACACCAATCCAACGGGCAGTTGCCAGTCACTGAAGCTATTGATGACACATTCATGGCCCATGTCATAATTGAACAAGCACTACACCTTCCTACTGTTCCTGGAACCAGTGAAAACAGGTATAAATTGGTTACAATGGAGAAACAAAATTCTTGTTCACCAACAACTCTATATTAATTATAGATTGTTGCAGTTATCAAGGCCTTCCAAGGTGCCTGGCATGGTCTTATGAATATTTCTGCCATGGCATTCTTATTTCTTTTTACTATTCTGAAGTGTTGAAAGAATTAATGCCATTCTGAGTTACTATAATTCTGATTCATCAGAAGCCATCTTACAGAGGAATAGATGTAAAATTGTCTATAGTAGACATAATATTTTGAAGTCTTACACGTTCCAATCTTTGTCTCCAGAGTAATGCCCAATGTGTATGTGTCTTACCAGACACTACCATCAATATCCCCAGCTTGCACACCAGTTGTTATGTGTTCATCCAGCCCAAGATGGGAGTATCAGAAAATGGAGAGAATCATTAACTCTCCAACTAAATTACAGGTAAAGCCCTATTGCTATTTTGTTTAGGAAAAACATTGTTTTGCTAGCCTGTTTTATTTGCTGTTTGGAAACATTCAGGGGGGACCTTAAGAAGTAAAAATGAGATTATTGTGGGAGATATGTTCCTTGTTTATGGTCATTGTTTTATGCAAGACATTGGGCTGTTAAAGTGCCTCTTCTGACCTAGGAAAGTAAAGGGATGTGTCAAGGCAGAGTAGCAACACTGCACTGCACTGATTGGCCATACTGCACAAACTAGGATAAGCTTTGGAATAATAACAATAATAACTTTTATTTATATAGTGCTTATATCTTAAATTCATGGCGCTTTACAACACTGTATGGGGGACTTTACCAGACTGCTAAGCAGTTTACAATCAAATAAAGGCGAATATAACAGATGCCCAGTAAACAGGCCACACCACATCACAGTAATCTCGTGAAGTGGGTTTTTTAACGTTGATTTAGTTAGGCAAACCAAATCAACTAATCAATAGATGCAGGAGACGGGACCTTTATTTATTCGTCCCTATCCAAGAAGACTAGAATATCTAACCATTTCTTGATCGATGGTATAGAAAGGTAGCATATTCTTCTCAATTATTTTAAGAACCCGAGTGTTGGTCCGGCCAGGGCTCGAACCCTTGACCTCCTGCACAACAGTCCGGCACTTAACCAATTGAGCTAACCGGGAGGCGGAAACTATGTGAGACAGTCTTGTCTAACAAGTGAAATTGTACCACATTAAATTTTGTGTCATTATATCTTTGTTTTGGACATGCCAAGGATTTTCAGTTCAAGGTGTGGCATTCCTCAGAAGCCAAGAAAGGTAAACAAAATCATTCAGTAACAGATATGAGATGAAACTGTTTTCTTAAGGAGCAAAAAGTAGGTCTGTTGTTTTCAGTCGGTGGTTAAAGATTTTAAAATTCACATGTAATTGGCAACTGAAAAAACCTATCACTCATTTGCTTGGAAGGGAACAGGGCTTGATGGTAGCCCACTAGCCACAGACAAGTAGAAATTCAGTTTTTGTGAGTGGTTTTCAATTTCCACCGGCCAGTTTGACTAGAAACAAACTGAAATTGTCATAACATCTAAGATGTCACTAGCTACTTGACTAGTTAGTTAAAAAGTTAGTGTTTAGCTCTGAGGGGAGTTGATTGACAGTGTCTACTGTAATTATCAAGAGAATAAAGAGATTATAAACATCATTTCTAATCTGTTTTCCACAGGCAAAGACAATACAGGTTCACAGTCCTTTGAACCTAGGGTAGATAGCTCTAGCGAGGACCGTTTGATTGGGTCTGTGTCATTTGATTTATCACCATTGTTGGCTGGTATGCGACAGCTCATTGGCTGGTACAATGTTACTGATTTTAATGGAGACTGTCAAGGACAGATTAAGGTAATTAATTAACACCATGATAGAGAAAGAGATTCATGTATTTTCTTTTTATTAGAAAATCAGTTATTGGAAAACTTTTGAACGGATGTAGCATGTTAGTGATAAATCTCCTTTTCTGTGCTATAGTTTGTAAACTTTGTCCATGTTGAATTCGGTTTTTCAGTGAGCATTTTTTCTACTGTTTGATTGTTTAAGTTTAATACACTAACATATGGTTATTTTCTAAGCCTCCTCAATTCTTCAGTCTATAAAGTAACTTTTTGGTCTTTAATTAATCAACTTATGTGATATTATACTAAAACAATATTTACCTCAGTGTCAGTGAAAGTGTTTTAATGGTTTATTTTCACTCCAATGAGAAGTAACATTGTTTAATTCATTTGGTATCCAGCTTGGCATTTGTCCTGTAAATCCTCTCTCTCCAACAAGAAGTTTCACCAGTTCAAGAGTAACACACAGCCAAGTACCAAAACAAGATGTAAGTAGCGTTTTTTGATTATTGTTTTTCATGACTACAGTCAGAAATAAATTAGCCAATACATAACTATTAAAATCTCAACATTCTGAAATGGCATGCTGATATTGGTTGATCCTAACACCCTTTGTTTCACCTCCTCCTCCTCCTCCTCCTCCTTGATCTTCCCCAGTGCAGTGTTTCACTTTGTTTTCTGTGATTGTACAACTGTTACATTGGATGGGGGAAGGGAGGTACTGTAGCAAACTGCACTTCAATTTAAACTTCATTTCTAAATACTTTTAAGTGGCTACATAGAGATCATGGGTCACAAATTTTTTCCTCCTATTTAGGTCCTTTAAATCTCAGTCAAGAAGAATTAAGACATAGTTTTCCCTTTGGAGGGTTTTCTTTTGTTGTTTGTTTGCTTTTTTGTTTTGTTTTGGAGTTTTTCCTGCATGACAAAAGTATTATGAGAGATGTTAAGCAAGAATATTTTTAGTAACTACTTTAAGTCTAATCCATGTAACCCAGGCTCAGTTATTTATGTCATCTAACCAATTACGCTAGGCACCCTACATCACACCTCTGCTGAAAAGTCAACGAGAAAATGGTTCTAATTACCAAAATCAGAGAGGCAATCCTCTGGCAAGTCAGTTGCAAGGATGTTTTGAACATTCTACTGGTTTCAAGCTGCATTCAGCTAAAGAGTTAAGAATGACAACAGAAGAAGAAACAGAAGCAGTCTCAAGTTGTTCCTCATCTCTTCTCTTTTCTCAGCTAAGGTCTGTAAGGATCATGAAGGAGATCTGTTTTGTTCTTATAATTTGAATATATCAACAAAGTTGAAATGGTAAATTGGCCACCATTACGATTATAAAAGCTGATGTTTCAAGCAATAGCCCTTCATTAGAGCAAAGGGCTAATGAAGGGTTAACGCTCAAAACGTCAGCTTTTATAATCATAACGGTGGCCAATTTACCATTTCAACTTTGTTGATATATTCAAATGATTTCGTTACCCCCACCAATGCAGCCCCAAAAAGTTTCTTTAGAAACTATCAACCTTTATTCATTTGTTTTGTTCTTACTTTACTTTCCTCTGGGCTTACAAAATTTATGTGATAGAACTTTGTAGAGCTGTATAGTGAACAAAACATTACCTGTCCACTGACAGATACAAAATTATCTCCTCTTGTTGATATAACTTGTGTCCACATGTCAAGTCGAAAATTCTATGAAATGGCTACATTTTTATTTGGTTAGTTATTGACAATCCATTGCCTGATAAATTATTGCAACCATACTTTTTGTACTTGGTGCTTCAAACTTGAAATCAATCAACAATTCCCAGTTGTTGCTATGCAAGTAAAGTCATTTTCCTTGATGAAGGAAATCACCATAGCAACCATATAGTATCTTATTACACCCTTAATTTTAGCTCTAGGTGCCTTTAACTAAAATTTGAGCTGAGAGACCCCTTCCTTTTTGTCCTAGCTTTAAGTCTCACTTAATAATTTTGTTTTCAGGCATAATATGAAGGAACTAGACATTCTACAGCAAAATTTAACCATCAAATTAAGATCAAATCCTGTCAGTAGTGATGATGGCTGCAATCAGGAAGATTCACATGCCTCTCACCACCCACCGTACTTTTTTTCTGGCAGAGATGAAACCACAAGTTTTCCTTTAGAATCTTCAAGAACATTGAGAACAGACAACAAAGGTGATATCTTGGAAGAAAAGTCGACTGAAACTGAATTCAAAGAGAGTGGTAATCAACATGTGGAGTTGAATGGCAAACAAATGACTCTAGTCAGAAATGATGATTACAAAGTCACTCCTCCAAAACTGTCTCCAGAATTGAAACAAACTGGTAGCTTTGTTGATTATGAAAAAACTGCTCTAAGAAGTGCTGATTATGTGCAGGATAGTGGAGCAACAATACTTACTCATTGTGAACTTCAAGAACCTTTTGCAAAATGTAGAGAGGATTATTTAAAACATGCTTCAGTTTTGGTTAGTTTGCCTGAGGAGAAGAACCAATTATCTGTTGTTCAAGATTGTCAGCTGCCCGTAAAAAGTGAACCTTCCCTCACTGATATTTCAGGAGACCTTTCAGTTGGTGGATATGTTCAGGACAACACTAATGACACTAGGTTTGCTGATTTGAAAGACAGCTGGCTCAGCAGTGAAGAAGAAGAAAACTCAGATTTGAGCCAGGCTGAAAAGCCTGGCATGTTAAATTCACCTTCTGCATTAAATTCTAACACACATACAGCTGGTGAACTGAAGAGCATTACTGTTACAAACTTTCATAACACGGAAAGTGGAGTGAGTGAGCAGGATCATGATTTTTCTGGTACTTTTGGCAATAAAGGTGAACACCACAAGGATGTCCATGTGATTTCAAGTGAGGCTGAAAGGAAACAATCATGTAATGATGATAGCATTGGGAGTCATGATAGTGCTGAAGATTTCACTAGAATAACCAGTCTTGGATCAGGTGGTATTACTGCAGCGGGCAGAAGAATGATATCGGAACACAGTAACATTAATGAAACCCACTCAAACAAACATGGATCTAATAACAGTTTGACTCCAAATGAAATGGTAAAACAAGATTCATTACCTAGATATCCTCCATCTTACCAGCAGACAAGTGCTATGTTGCCAAATTTCTTTATGCCTTCAGAACAACTAGCAGAGTCTATGAGGGCACTTAGGCTGGGATCTTCAAACACATCTTCACATTCTAAGCTGTTGGCTCATTCACAACATACAGGAAACAACCAATGCACAAAAGAAAACTTGACTGAGAAATTTGCTAGAAGGAAACATTATAAGGCTAAAAGAGATGAAAGACCCCCGATCTCCACTTCAGAGGTGGATAGGATTGCTAAAATTTTCAAGTTGAATTCTGGGAGTCTGTAAGACTGTATGAGTTCTTTCTCTTGTAATTAAACAATGTGATGCAACCATTTTGTATTTTAATGATCATGTTTATGATTTCATTCTCATTCAAATTTTAAAATGGAAAAAAAAAAAAACACTGGCAGCTATTGATTTTCTATGTGGAACTTCTTTCTGCCCACATAATTTGGGCTATATGCTAAGTACTCGTTCCAGATCATGTGAAATCCTCATGATGTTTGAAAATCGGTGGTGCATTCAAACATGAATATGATTAACATCATTAGAAAATAATCCCTTGAGTATTGTCACAGGATCAATAATTTGAAAAGAAAGACAACCTGAAGGTGAATTAGATGTTTTATAAAGAACAAGAGTAGCCACATGTTATTTGAAGTTGAGGATCTTAGCAAAGGAAAAATATAATGCAGGCATACATAACATTTTTTCTTGGAGACCAATTTTTTATGGTAAATATTTGTCCCATCCTATTTATCAGGTTGGTGCAGTCTCTTGAGTGATTGTTGCAAATAATGTTTTATTGTTAGGCAGTTGGATTCCTGAAAGAAACATGTTCTCTCCCATTTGTTTTGAATGCCTATAAGACACATAAAGTGCTTTTCCTTTTTTTCTTATTTGCTACACCTTCATATGTTACCCCCGGGTTCAAGCCATTTACTGCATAATGTACAGATATTAGATTATGGTAAATTAGCTCATATACCATAAGGGCTAAGCCAATAAAATGTCTTGAATTGCATTATCGAATGATCCAGTTTTTAATAAATATATATAAATGAATAAACGAGAAATAAAGTTGTTTCACTTATCCTTGGAGTGCGCGATGCAGAAATGTGCAGAACAAAATACAAATGTGAAAGAAGGAAATTGTTACTAGTTACTCGAGTTTCATTCTACATTGGAATAACAGAACATGCATTCAAAACAAGATACAACAACCACAAACTCTTTCAAAAACCGAAAATACTCACATGACACTGTACTTTCAAAAGACATTTGGGACTTAAAGGAGTGAGGCAATGACTACAAGATCAACTGGCACATCATCAAAAGGGCAAGCGCATATAAAGGCAAACCATCTCGTTGCAACCTATGTTTGGCTGAAAACTTTGCATCTTGACGGCTCAAAATGCCTCTCTCTTAAATAAGAAATCTGAGCTTGTAACGAAATGCCGCCACGAAAACAAGTTTTTCACAGCATCCAATCAGAAGGAACGCGCGCGTGACGACTTCTAACCGTTCTTGAATTTTAAACATTCATAACCGTTTACTTCTCGTAGACAACTCTCAGTCTGATGATCGCCTAGAGCATGAAACTCGAGTAACTAGTAATAATTTCCTTCTTTCACATTTGATTATTTATATAAATAGTTGGAGGGAATGAGAGAAAGAGTATAAAGCAAAGTGTTCTTGGTTTGCATTGCATAACCATGTAACCACTTGTAAATATTTATTAATAAAAACTCCTATGGACAAGGTTCTTGTACATCTTGAACTTGAGTATATAAATATATGTCTCAATAAAGAAATGACAACTTTATTGAGAGTTATAGTCACTCTTCTGTCTTTACGTCCTTTTGGTAATTTATTTAAGTGGAATAAACAGACAAAGAAGCAAACTTTTCTTATGTGGCCTTTAATATGTGTACGTTTCGCCCATTCGGGCTTCCTCAGCACTAAATATCAACATGGAGTAAAATTTACAAGCAATACAAAAGTCTTAAATAAGTGGAATAAAAATGTTTTACATAAAATTCCATAAGAGTAATACAAGGATAATAGAAATTAAAATTACACGCTAAAATTTAACAATAAAATATGAAATTTAACAATAAAATATGAAATTTTATTGTTAAATTTTAGTGTGAAACTCGAGTAACTAGTAATGGATCCTTCTACTGGGAGCTCATCATTTGGTTCACCTTTTTATTCTGTTTATATATATATATATATACACAAAAAATATATCTAATTTTGTCATATCCCATGTACCAACAATTATCTAATCTTCCAGCTTATTTTGTTTCGTGTGCAAATATAGGGAATCATTGGACAGCAGCACTTCCAATCTTACACTAGCTATAAGTATTACTAATACTATGATTACAGAGATTTTACAATTCCTGAAAAATACTGACTTTGGGAAAATAAATTCAAACTAAGAAGAATTACGACAATTTCTATCCAAGGATTGAGGCAAGATTAATCATACATTATGCATAACTGCCACGGTGTTGCATCTTCTATAGAGAGGAGTTTAAGTTCTGAATAGTACAATGAAGATAAAATCACACAAAAAGGAGCACTGCCTGCTACTGGACACACGTATTCCATTGCATAACCACATTTATTCGATCTGCCCGTGGCCATCCACGAGACCTTTGAATTCCACGTGAACCCTTCAAGATGACCTGTCATTTGTAGGGAACGTAAGAGATATTTTTAAATCTGTTTGTAGGCAAACAGGCGAAGCAAAAAATAGCTCTGCTCGTCATCTTGTTGTTTTAATTTGATATGGGCCGCAGATGGTTTCAGTCACAAATTAATACTGAATCGCCAAACACCTATGATATGGACAAAGACCACAAAACCTTAATCCTTGTTTCGACTTGACGTTGCTACGGAAATCCGCCATGTAACTTCTGTTCTTGCTCCTGGCGCTTCACAGCTTCTTGGGCTTCTTTCTGCATGGTTTCCAGCTTTTCAAGCGTCACTGACTTCATAGGCATTATTTTTGGTTTGCAAAGAACCGGCATTGGCGTCTGTTCAGTAAAGAGGAGTCCTTGTTTAGGAAGAACTTCCTTGAACACGGGTTTTTCGCCCGCCATCTTCAATTCCTTCAATTATAGGCTACAACCACTGACCAGATGTAAACGTGCTCACAAGGAGCGAGTTGGTGGTCAGCCAGCTCCTGCTTTGAAAGAATAAAAGTTGATTTACATCAGATCTTCGAAAGACAATAACGAATAATGACCGAAAGATAAGACAATGAAATTCTATAATTTCCGTTTTGCGAGGGCAAATTAAAGGAGTGGGAAAATCCCAGCCTGTTTTGTAGAGAACCAAGTTCAAACTAATAATGTAAAATAAATTATTCATCAAAAAACGGCAACGTCAGCCATTCAGGAACCCTCGGAACACCAATGTCGTAAAAATCAAAGCTTTTCGTTAAACCCGATATCCCCAATCATGACTTACACTTATTTCCTCTGAGCTGGAAAATTACTGAATGAAAATATGGATAAATGTTGCGATAGAGTTTTTATGCTTATCTTCGGAAGGCGATTGGGATGGCGATCATCGTTATTTTAGGAAATCTGATCTCTTATAATATTCATTGTTTCTCTTGCTCTGTCTCCTCTCTCTCCCTCTCGGAAACATCTTACAAATACCATTTTAAATTGGAATCGTCTCGTATCATCTTTCGTCAGATCTAAATCTTCTCTCAAAATTGAAAACCACCGAAGTTCTTGTTTGATATGCAAATCTTTTTCTAGGGCAGCCCAAATACTCCCACTAAAAATCGTACTATTTAATTTTTATACTTATCATTTGAGCCAAGGAAATTTTATGTATGCCCCCCAGTAAGCTACTTTTTCTTTGACTTCAAATTGGAAATAAAGATTGCACCTTTGTTCCATTTTCAAAAGCACCTCACCAACCTTTCTCATAGTTGAAATATGATTATCTCTACGCGTGTTACAAAGCTATATGATATTCAAGATGAATATATTTTTACCGAAATGTCGCGGAACTGCATGCAGAAGCCGCAGTGATCAAGCCACCCTTTGGTGGGTGCGGCAAATCTGTGGCTCACTGGCGAATGACGTCCTTGTAACATAGCGACCATCGACCAATCAAATGTCAAGAGGATTCAAAATAGCCAATCATAAGCTGTTCATCACGTGCCTGAGGGCAAGATTTTACCTTGCTTCGCTTATGAGAAGCTCTTCGTGAAAGGAGTGAACTAGATTGTTTCCTTGAATTGCCTGTGTTTGTTCTTTGCTGTACAGAGTCAAAGGGGCGATCTGGTTCACTTTGAAAAGCACATCGATTTGGTGCTTGAATTAGCCGTGGAGAATTTGACTGTTAATTTCCCGGTACACGACCTGGCGTGCCCGAGTCCTGTTTGTTGGGCTGGTGTTTTTCATTCTGTTATTGTTAGAAGCTGCTCGCTTGTGAAAGACTGTATCCCAGTTGATTTGAGAAGGTGTCAAAACTGAAACTTCTGTCCTAGAGAGCTAGGGAAGCAGCAGACCTGCAGCGGACAGAATCGTGTTGTTTTGTTCCAGCAAAAGGAGTGACGCTAGCCCTGGAATCTGGCATCCTTCTGTCCATTTGTTTGAGAAGAAACTTGTGAAAAAAAATTTCTGTTTCCACCCTGCAAACTGGAAAGTATCTTCTGGCATAACTGTGGTCGCTGACTACTTGATCTTCTGCCTTGTGCTAAATTTAGGGACAAAAGAGGTTTGGTGTGTTTTTGAACAGTGAGGTGGAACGATCGAACTTTCCACTGTGAGTTTAATTTAAAAATATATCCCACGAGGCTTCGATACGAGAGCTGTACAAGATTTTAAACAGATAGAAATTGAGATTTTGTAAACTAGCATTAATCATGGCAGAACCTTCAATTAAAAAGGAAGAGCTACAGTCGTTGCATTCGTTCGACTCTATGGATTTCAATACAGTCGCCGATTTTTCAGATATTTCTGTCAGAGATCTTACCTTGCTGATGGAGCACAGGGGACATGAAGCAAGAGATTACTTAAATTCAAACTTTGGAGGCGTGCAGAAGCTTATCCACAAGCTGCACACTTCTTCCGAGAGAGGAATTGGTGGATTTGCCGATGACCTTGAAAATCGCAAGAAAGTGTTTGGTTATAATTTCATTCCACCAAAACCTCCCAAAACCTTCCTCCAGTTTCTCATTGATGCCTTCAAGGATACCATCCTAATAATTCTTACCGTTGCAGCGGTCGTGTCCCTTCTTTTAGGAATTTTTGCGCCAGAGGATTGCGAGGGGTCGGAAGACAACACTGGCTGGATCGATGGCTTCGCTATTATTGTTGCGGTGATAATAGTGGCATTAGTGACTGCAGTGAATGATTATCAAAAAGAGCAGCAGTTTCGAGGCTTGCAGAATAAAATCGAAAGCGAACACAGATTTACGGTGGTGAGGCATGGAGAACCAATTGAAGTACTTAACAGCGAAATAGTTGTAGGTGACCTTTGCCAGGTCAAATATGGTGACTTATTGCCAGCTGATGGTGTTGTTGTTCAGTGTAATGACTTGAAAGTTGATGAGAGCTCTCTGACAGGGGAATCAGACCTTGTTAAGAAAGGACCAGATAGAGACCCACTGTTACTTGCTGGAACCCACGTTATGGAAGGAAGTGGTAAGATGGTGGTTTGTGCTGTGGGACTGAATTCACAGACAGGAATAATCTTTTCCTTACTTGGAACACATGGTGATAAAGGAGAAGAGAAGCCAGATGGAAGGGGTGGGGAAGCACCACAGTCACCATTCATTAAAACCAGTCAGGATGACTTTGAGGATATCAACTTGGATGAGGAGAAAGATTTTGATTCTAATGGAAAGGAGAAGAAAGACAAGGATGAGAAATCCATTCTTCAAGGAAAGTTGACAAAACTGGCTGTCAGTATTGGTTGGTTAGGTGTGGCTGCTGCCCTCCTAACAATTATAGTCATGGTTCTGCAGTTCAGCATCAGAAAGTATGTAAATGAGAAAGCTTCTTGGCAGAATCAGCACTTAAATGCTTACGTCAATGCCTTTATTACTGGTCTAACTGTGTTAGTTGTAGCTGTACCTGAGGGTCTGCCACTGGCTGTTACAATCTCTCTGGCATACTCTGTTAAGAAAATGTTGGATGACAATAATTTAGTCAGACATCTTGATGCCTGTGAAACCATGGGCAATGCAACAGCCATCTGCTCGGACAAGACAGGAACTCTAACCACAAATCGCATGACTGTAGTTCAGAGTTATCTAGCAGACAATCATAACAAAGAAGTGCCCAAACAAGGACAGCTGCCACAGACACTGGTTGAGTTGCTTTGTAAAGGAATTGCAATCAACAGTAGCTAAGCTTCCAATATACTGGTGAGTAAACATTCTATCTCCAGTTGTTTGTCAATAGATTTCTACAGGTCAATTATGACAATAAAGGGCAAAAGAGGTTAAAAAAGTCATTTTGTTTACCCAGGATAACTTTATGGTGAATAATTACAATGCAAAGAATTCATCATGTTATAGTTTGGTTGGTTTAGCTTTTATGTACAAGATGTGTCTGTATTCACAAATGATAAATAACACACTGCAGCTAGTTCACAGCACTCTCTTGAAATAAAAATCTGATTAAGGTTTTCAATGTTGTTGAAGGAAAAATCTGTTATCAATTTGAAATGTTTTGCTTTCTTCAAGTTCTTTTTTTAGGGGGGAGCAGGGGTGGGTTGCTTGATGCTTTCTGCAAAGCAATTCTGATTACAACTGAGTGTTCTTTAAAAGCTGACATAAAGTTTTATATATATATCTCAGTAGTTTTCCATCTCATTTATCAAGTTTACTCTGTAGTTGATGTTGATTGAGATTGTTTATATCTTAATATCACAGACAGAACAGATATTTTGGCAAACTACATCAGTTCCCTTGTGTACCACTTAAGCGTCAATTCCTGTTATACCTTTTGGCTTTCCCTTTGATGTCAGTAGTATATTATCATCCTTACAAGTATGACAGTGCTCATTACCAAGTGACTTTCAATTACTACTTTTCTCCAAAGCAAAACATGTAAATTAATATGACATTTCCCTATAGAATAAGTTAGATATGTACATGGATACACAAAAAGCCCATTAGAAAACATAGCATGGTTTTGAGTTGTCTTAAGGTGAGCCAGAAAAGTACATTTAAGTTTTTTTGTTTGGCAGATAACCACAATTAATAGCTGCATTTATTTGAATTTCAAAATATGTACCAAAGAAATGAGAACAACATCTGGTAAACTTGTCAAGCTCAAATTGTATGTTTTCATGGGTGGCTTTTTTTTATTTTTATTTTTTTTTTCCATTTTTTATTTTTCCTTATTTTTTCAATACAAGAAAAACAAGAAATATTGTCAAGGTCAGATGCCTTATGCATCCTGCCAAGTCAAAATAGCAGTATCACTGAGGTGTAAATATCACCAACCTTTGTACAGGATAAAAGAAATTCAGAAATCTGGTTGAAAAACGATATTTTCCTAAAATAGTTTTTTCGTTAGTTAACGAAAATTTCTATTTTGAATCATGAAAAAGAGGCCTTGTTTTGTTTCTCTAGGTTTTTTCAAATTTGCATTTATTTATTTAGAACTGTGTTTTATTTTTGAGATAAATCCTGGGACAGATAGTAAACCTCAAAACCATTTCCTAGTGTAAGTAATTAACCCTCTTTCCTCAAGGAAGGAAAAACAGATGTTTTCTGCCCTTTTATCCTTTTATGGTGGCCTTTCTTGTTATTTGAAGAGATGGTACATGTATTACATGTTTTGGACATTTATTCTTCATCAGGCAAATGGAATGTTTATGGTGTCTTTCCTTTTCAGCATTACGTAAAGAAAATTTGAATAAGTTTTTTTTTTCTAATTACAGCTATGATGATTTAATGAAATAGTACTTGTTTTGTGGCCTCTAGATTTTTTCAATTTTGTCATTAGTTGTCCAGTAATGTCCTTGTGCAAAATTCACAGGTACTTGTCTGTTTTCATCATCAATGATATATGTTTCCAAAAAGAACAAAGATTGCATACAATTTCTTATATTTCATTGCTGGTGTGTCTGACACCTTTTGTTTTAATTACTATTAATATTATTTGTTAAGTTTTATGAAAGTCCTTACAGCAGAATACGTTGGAAAATAAGCTGAGATTCAACTGAAGAATCAACCTACCACCTGGAATAATTCTTTTCTTTTAATGCAAAATTGAGACCTGAAAAAATTAAAATTAGTGTTCAGCAATCGAGTGGGTTTTTTGCTTTGTTTTGTTTTGTTTTTTTTTTTTTTAAGAGCCAGTTGCTGGCAAAATTTGGCTGGATTTTTGGTTGGCAATCACTTGGAAGGCATGACGGGCACTTCTGAGTTTACATGGACAATTGTTCAATGTAGAACAACTATCATCTAATTTAAGACATTTATATATATGCCTGACAAACTAATATTCACTAACTATTAGTGACACTACCACCAGTTAAATAAATGTAATAAAACCTTGTTTTAAGCACTTTTTCATTGCAACTTCTTTCCATTTCTTGCTGTCACCTTTTTATGAACAGGAAGCTTAGTAGCCCAGCATTCAAGTGTTGCTAATGTCATTACCAGGCTGGGTATATCATTGTGACATCTTTGAGCTGCCTCATTATTAAATCTCAGCCTAATCTGACATCCTAATCTCTTGCTATCAGCCTGTGTATATAGTAAATAAGAAACAATTCAAAGTTTCTTTTGAGCTACCCATATTATCTGAAAAGTTTACTTATGGAAATTAGAGTGAAGATACCTTGGTCTTTATTTGGAATGTCTAATTTGAAAATATTCATCTGTAGTAGCTGCTGGCAGTAGCATGAAGATTGAAGTTAAGACAGCATTAATGTTCGCTATTTTTTTCCAACAAAGATGATGCTGCTTTTTTTATGATTTAATTCTTTTAACTGTCTTTCAGTTAATTGAATTTTTTTTATTGCTGGTTATAGCCTTCAGATCTTCCTGATGGTCTCCCAACACAAGTTGGAAATAAAACTGAATGTGCATTGCTTGGCTTTGTACTTGAAATTGGTGAAACTTATCAAGATTACAGAGATAACAACCCAGAATCTAGTTTTGTTAAGGTCTACACATTTAACTCTGCAAGGAAATCAATGACAACAGCTGTACAGCTCCCCGGTGGAGGATTTCGAATATATTCCAAGGGTGCATCTGAGATAATGTTGAATCGCTGTACATCCATTATTGGCAAAGATGGTGAAATCAGGCCCTTCACAGCAGCTGATGCTGAAAACATGGTGAAAGGTGTAATCGAGCCAATGGCCTCTGACGGTTTGAGGACCATCACCTTAGCTTACAGAGATTTTCCAGCCAATGGAGTTCCTCCTGAGAAAGGTTGGAAAAAATTTAGTCATTGAAACTTGTTTCATAACCACTTTATCGTAATCACAACACATGCGAATTAACCCTTAAACTCTTGTAACTGACCAAGACAGAATTTCTCCTTACAATACCAACACAAAATCAAGCAGACAAGTGATGAGAAAAAAAATAATTACTCAGGAACGTTCCAGTGACTTTTCTAGTAATGTGAGACTCGCTACATTTTGGTATGTTGTTTAGCTGGAGAAGCTAGTGCAGAACTAGAACCAGACTGGGAAAATGAAGGTGAAGTGCTGTCTCACTTGACATGCATTGGAGTTGTTGGAATTGAAGATCCTGTGCGCCCTGAGGTAAATTATGCTTCTGCTTGTTAAGACTAGAGGTGAAAAAAAGAGAGAAGTATTTAGGGTTTCAAGTCATCTTCATATAACTTGAGAACTGCAGTAAGTAGATTTCAGGAGCTGCAAAGGTTTCATATTTGTGAAACCTTGCCACAGGCTTCAAAATCTGCCAGGCTAATTGTTTTGGTTGTAACATTGTTTTTGCAAGGCTTTTTATGTCAACTGTGTTCTTTGTTTATATTAATAATTTCATTTTATTACTTTTACACAAATTTTGTTGCATGAAAAAGTAGCAATTGGTTTTTGGGTTCCACTGAATTTTGTTTTCAATGCTTTACTAGTGTGAAACCTTTTTTTTCATCATTGTTGTGGTGTGCTTGAAAATCGTACTCTTTTAGCTGGTAACCTCAGGACAAACTGAATCCTTGTGCAATATTTTCAGGTACCAGATGCTATTTTAAAATGCCAGCATGCAGGAATTGTTGTGCGCATGGTCACAGGTGATAATGTTAACACTGCCAGATCCATTGCTTTCAAATGTGGCATCCTGCAACCTAACAGTGAATTTCTGGTACTGGAAGGCAAAGAGTTCAATAAACTCATCCGCGACTCTTCAGGGAAGGTGGGAAGCTGGACAGAGATGTACCTTCAATCAGCATCAAAATTAGTTGATACATCCTGTTGGAAGAGTTTTATTTAAGTGAAGAATAAGTCTTGTTTCTACCACACTATAAATCATTAACAGCCCCCCTTCCCCTTTCAATGCTTGCTAAAAGTTCATGGAATTGCAATACAACATTTTTTGGGGGGGGAGGGGGGGAGGAAGGGGGCAAACAGGTTAACTAAACCAGGGATGAAGTGATAAAATTGAAGTACGAGGGGGTTGAAAGGAGCAATGTGTCAGCAATTTTTTGCTGATTGTTGTTATTTTGTTTCTTTTCGTTTCCTATTACCTTCCAAGTTTTTGGAATTTTACCTATACATATCAACATATTTCACTGTACAGGTCAGCCAGAAGAAGTTTGATGAAGTGTGGCCCAAGTTACGTGTGTTAGCTCGTTCCTCACCCCAAGACAAGTATACTCTTGTGAAGGGCATTATTGACAGCAAGCTTAATCCAACACGGGAAATTGTGGCTGTAACTGGCGATGGCACCAATGATGGTCCAGCACTCAAGAAAGCTGATGTTGGCTTTGCCATGGTAATATTTCTATTCCTTGATTTTCTTAAGTGTCATAGGAAATCAGTGTCTAACAGTTATTGTAAACTAAATCTTCATCTGAGTAGGTATGATATTTTCTTTTCAAATTGCACTACTAGCATTTTTAAAGGCTCATGAGCTAGATGTGAGTGATACATGAATTACAATACCACAAAACTACTGTAATGTTTCTGATATCAACACAAAATTACAAAATTACCTGCTTCTCTTACCTACTTCTTAACTTATTAACACAGCAACTACTCTTAATTTGCATGTAGCAGTTCAAACTTGAGCATGATCCTGTTTATGTTTCAGGGTATTGCAGGAACAGATGTTGCTAAAGAGGCATCTGATATCATTCTGACTGATGATAACTTTAGGAGCATTGTTAAAGCTGTTATGTGGGGGCGCAATGTCTATGACAGCATCTCAAAGTTTTTGCAGTTTCAGTTAACAGTGAACTTGGTTGCTATCATTGTTGCCTTTGTTGGTGCTTGTGTTGTTCAGGTAAAGTACAAGTACAAGTACTCATTTGTCTTTATTTAATTAGTGAGCAAATGACTAAATGTATATGAGGTAACATCAAAACCCCATTTTGTTCATTACAAAACCAATGCTGGAAAGTTGTGGAATTTTGATTTGACATTTTCTTGTACTGGAAAGTCATGGGAAAAGAGCACAGGTCCTGGAAAGTCCTGGGAATCTGCTTAATTAACTCAAGCAATATAAATTTCAGAATTTTAGTTATAAGAAATGTATATACATCATTTAGAGAATTGATTTTAATGTAATTTTAATTTTGATAGGTAAGTCCACTGACTGGCACACAGCTTCTTTGGGTGAACCTTATCATGGACTCCTTTGCATCACTGGCCTTAGCTACAGAGCCACCAACAGAAGACCTCCTACAACGGAAACCCTATGGACGCACCAAACCACTCATCTCGCGTACAATGATTAGGAACATTCTTGGTCATGCAATTTTCCAGCTGATTGTCCTGTTTGTCTTGGTATTCCTGGCAGATGATTTATTTGATATAGAAGATGGTTACTTGGAAACAACACGTTGTAAACCAACAGCTCACTCTAGTGTGGTTTTTAATACATTTGTTATGCTGCAGCTCTTTAATGAAATTAATTCACGTAAAGTTCATGGAGAAAGAAATGTGTTCTCTGGCATTACCCATAATCCAGTGTTTCTTATTATCATGGCAGGAACATTTGTTGTGCAGGTAAGATGTTACTGTGTATTTTTTTTTGTCAAGGTGATAAAGGATGTAAATGTACTCTGAATTGTTTGTCTTATTTTGAAATTTTAAGAGTGGAAGCAGCTGTTGTTGCACTTAACTTGAAAATTAACCTTTTGAATATCCAGCTGGTATAAGCTCATAATTTGGTATTTTACAGTAGACTTTGCCTGGTTTTTCAGATACTAATAATTGAGCTGACTGGGAAGGCCTTCCATGTAACAGGACTGGGCTGGGAAGAATGGCTTTGGTGTGTCTTCCTTGGATTTTCTGAGTTGCTATGGGGACAACTAGTCCTTACAATTCCTAAGACATCATTCCCAAAACTGTGTCGATTTGGCACGAAAGAACTTCCCCTTGCGACAATAGTGGAACCTGATGGATCAAAAGACAGCAAGGCTCGTCTGTTGTGGATACGTGGTCTGACAAGATTGCAACACCAAGTAAGTAACTGTTAAAATACAAAACTATTTTTTTGTAGTGTGTCTGGAAATCCTCTGATATAGTAACCTACATGTTAAAAAACCACCCAGAATCTCCTTAGCAAAACATTTTTAAAAATTTACTGTTTATATTTCCTGTGTTGACATTTACATGTATCTTATTTCAAAGAGTTTCTACTTTTTTTTGGCTCGAACTTGGCCTCATTAATGCCAAGTGTGTCTTCCTTTGATCAAAATGTGTAGATATATCTCCTTTTAACTAAGTTCTGGGGGTAGAATGTCATCCCTCTGTCCTTTCGTGTACTACCTCACTGTACTCTATGAAAAAAACTTAGCTATGGTTCTGAGCAGTTTGATTTATAAGAGGCTTAAAGCAGGACTGGAAACTACCTTTAATTGACTTGTGATTTTTCTTCTTTGGCAAGCTTTTGGAAAGATAACAAAGTTTTGCTTAACTTGAAAAGGAAAACCTCATGCTAAATAATAAAGTGGTGATACATGGTTATCCACTGTTGAACCACCCTTGTCAAATAAAAACACCCCCAATCCAAGACTTATCTTGTATTTTTATAGACTTGTATTAGCAAACAATGTACATAATCCCCAGAAAATTCCTCAAGCAATGAGTAATCTCTGTTGTTGTGTGTGGTGTACACTGATTTTTTTTTCCTGTTCCATCTATTGTGCTCTGTCATTCCTTAATGACTGTGGGGTTTTATTTTACTTAGATCCGAGTGGTAAATGCATTCAGAAGTGTTATTGATGGACGAAGTCAAAGAGCCATTGCATCTCCAGCAGTATTTAATTCTCTGCTAGCCCCAGTACGCACAGCAATGGTCTACGATGATTCACAGTATCCATCTGCCTTGGATAGTACTGAACCAGAAGCTGGAGCTGAAGCAATACCGCGGTATGCAAGTGTGGAAAGCTCTGTATAAAAATCTTATGCAAGCATAAAGGAGAAAAATTTTAAGATGCCAAAATTTAGTGTTGGTGCAACATGATTGAAATTATTTTCAATAAATACATGGTACTCATAAAAGTATCTATCATTTAAAATGTCTCCCATCTTGAATACCATTAAAGTAAGGCATGATCACCACTATTAAGGTAACCTTGCACTTCTGGTTTCTTATAAATTTTAAGAAGCCACCTTTTTCGGGTGGGCTTGAGTAACTCTGCACTGAAGCACGGTAAAACTGATTCACATTAGGTCACCTAATGTGCACCTTGCACTGTGTTGCTACTGACCACTCCTATCAGCCTCCATAATAAAAATCAAAAGTAGAGAAATAACTCTTACTTGATTTCTAACCATAATCTTTTTATGAATCAAAACTATCTTTGATTTAACATTTTCTTAATCTATGCAGGTGATCATGATTGCTGTGGAAGTCCCTGTGGACAGACTAAAATTCTCCTCCTCTGTTTTAATCTTTTTGGTGTCCAGAGTAGATCTATAGTGCCAAATAGAAAATTCTAACTGAATGATGTCTTAATCTAATTTGCAAGAAATCTAAGTCAACTCAGTTGCTGTAAAGTGCATAAAATGATTGAGGAGCTCTTTATACTTTTTCTTGCTCAGAAAAGCCATTGAATTTGCCACAGATTGTCAGTGATGTATATGATAGTGGTTTAAAATTCAGTGGTTGATAGGATCAGTATGCATTTACATTTCCTTTAAGGTGACCTTCTGTAAACTTCATTTTTTATACCACGATTGAATTTGTCATCATTTGGTTTTCTGGATCCTTAGTTAATCATCAGAGAGTATTTCCCTCTTTCCCTAAGTGTTGGAAGAGTTTTCAAAGCAAAAGAAATAAATGTGCTGTGATTATCAAGGGATTGAATCTTTCATTTATATAAAAAAAATTCATAATAGGTCCTCGTAGCATGGAATGATATTTTGATGTGTTCAAAACGTTTGAAATTGATTGGTGAGACAAAAAGTAGAAGCAACTGTTGAACTAAAATATGCACTTTTTGGTGATATTTATATAATTATATCAGAGGGCTGCAATTGCAATGTCATCTTTGCATTGTATTGTTGTTTAAAAGGTTGGTCAGAACTTTACTGTTCAGCAAAATCTCAATGTTCAAGGATTCTACCAGAAATTTGAGTAACTGGACCCATTTGTTACTTTTGCACCTTGCATTTTAAATGTTTTTTATTGTTTTCCCACTCTGACACTTTCATACCAGGAAAGTTATCAAATTAAACATGTCTTCCAAAAATAAAAAAATAGGCATCTCACCAAATTGTTAATTTTTTTCTCTTTCTCCTTGGATGGTTTGACAGAATCCTCTACTAAGAGAGAAATGGTAGGTCTATTTTCCCCCTTTTTCCAATTAAATGCAGAGGTGGCAGTCTTGTTGAAACACGAGCCAACCATTTCAGGTGACAAAGGTCAAATCCCTTTATGTATATTTAGAAAGTTCTGGGTCTCCAAGGAAACAGAGCAAGAAATAGTTGTCTGTGGAACTAACCAGACCTCGGAAGCTTTTTAGATAAAATATGCTGATGACTCTAAGGCGGTAGTTGTTGATAAAATTAATTTCAATTTCAGTACTATGAAAGTATGGTAGAGTTGCAGTCTTTTCCAGATCATAGCATAGCAACAGTGTACTCATAGCTGTCTATTTCTATTTTTTTAAAATTGATTGCTTCCAACAGCATTTCAATATTTAGATGTTAAGATGAACAAGTTGTCTATTTTTAATCAATTATTTATTTGCTGTGTAATGATTCAAGGTGGGGATTCAATTGAGTCTCACCATAGTGTATTGAATGTACTGACCATAGTGTATTGAATGTACTGTAGTATTCTATAAGGATCCTTTGCATTATCATTATGATAAAGATATTACAGGGAACTCCCATTTAATAAGTGTAATAAAAGGATAAATCTTACGTTTTTGGCTTGGGTTGACTGTTTGCTGTAGTATTTTTTGTCAATTTTATGAATTTTTTTAATTATAGGATGGCACAACAATTCATTTCTGTTCTATGTACAAGTGTTGATTGGATGAGGTGCATGTATTACACACAGTGTTAGGTCTGTATCTTTGGACACACTGCTGTGATGATACACAAGTTAGAATCTCATCGCATGTGATATTTAGGTCTGGGTAGTGATGAAATGAAAGGCGATCAAAGACATACCACGGTACAAAGTGCAAAAAAAAGAGATTAAAATAAGTCATTTCCACCAAACTCAGGGTATCTGTCCTAAAACGATGCTAAGTAAGAACCTCTTCTTTTTCTTATTTCCTTTCTTTCTTTTTCTTTCTTTTTTTACGTTTTTTGATAGAGATTGTGAAAAAAAAAAAAAAGCAACTATATCTGGAAAATTGCAAACAACGTCAATTAACAATATTGAAATCAGAATTCCTGTAGAAGTTCTGAGGTAGCAATCTATGTTAATTTCGACAAAATCTTAGAATACACATGAGGTGCTACCACCCCCAGAAAGTTAGTTGTATGTATTCATTATTGTGTCGTTATACTGCAAGGTTAACCTTTATTGTTAGATCAATTACTAATCACTAAGAATTAGAATTTGAGTCGGTGCAGGAACGATCTTCTCAAAATGAGGGGAAACGGGGGAAGGCACACATGCCCCACCCCACAGTTTAAAGAATGATTTGGCCGTGAAATCCTGGGAAGAAGCCGCGCTCAATATAAATAACGGTGTGAACTCATAGATGAATATTGATTAACGAAAACACGCTTCGTTGGTCTGTGTTTCTGGGTGACGAGAGTTAGTATTTTTCTATAGTAGGCTACACACAGGGAAGGAAACTTCAAGAAATTAAGGTGATTAAGGCAGTGACTTCCTAACCATGTTCTCAGCAGGTACTTTAGCTTCAAAGGAGACTTTGTACTTGGTCGCGCGCTGCTTCCCATAGAGATGCCAAATTTTTTTTCCCCCTAAGCTGTTCATAATAGATTTTCGTATTAGATGTTTATCAAACACATTTGTGTCTCCTAGTTAGTTATTTTTGCGTGATTTTTATCCAAACTCAATTAAGTCTTTCGCCTTAATCCACCCGCACAGTCACGAGTGTTTTCGAATGGTTAAAGCACTTTTAAAAACACACGTCTCATACATCCAGACGGAATTAATTTGTTTGTCTTCCTAGGGTGAACCGTTGTAACTATTTCATCGTAAGTATTGTTATCAGTCTTGGCTGGAACATAGTCTGTGGCCGTCATCTTTCAAAATGATGGACGAAGTAGACTCAGGGTTTAAGCCTAATCTCACAAACACTCCAGAGATGCTAGTGGAAGTCATGAAAAGCAGGGGAGCCGAAGCTGCTGCTGTTATCGAAGAAAAGTTTGGAGATGTTCAGCACTTGATTCATGAGCTTCAAACCTCGGTGAGCAGGGGAATAATTGGGATACGCGAGGAGGTGATGCACAGGCGTGAAAAGTTTGGAAAAAACTTTATGCCTCTGGAACCACCTAGACCTTTTCTAGAATATCTCTTTTGTGCTTTGAAGGACTGGGTGATATTGATTTTATTTATAGGAGCTTTACTCTCTGTAATTCTGGGAGCTGTCTTTCCTGAGAAATGTGAGGATCAGGATGGTTTAGCTGTAGCAATGTACGAGGGTATCGGAATCATGAGTACCATTGTCATAATGATTCTGCTGGTGGCTTTTAGTGACTATCTTAAAGAAAGTCATTTCCACAGTTTGCAGTTCAAGATCAACAGAGAACGTAAAGTAAAGATTATCCGAGGAGGCATCGTATTAGACCTTCTTGCTTCAGAGGTGGTTGTGGGTGATCTGTGCCTGTTGAATAAAGGAACTCTCATCCCAGCTGATGGAGTGGTTGTTCAGGTGAACGATCTTCTTGTCAATGAATCAGCTTTGACAGGCAAGAAGAGTATGGTGTCCAAAGAGATAGACCCCCTGGTATTTTGTGGTACCCATGTTGTAAATGGAAGTGGCAAAATGATTGTATTGGCTGTTGGTTGTAATACACAGATCTACAAGAGCAACAATCAGTCTCCCTCATCACCCACTACAACTATTACATTCAAGGCAGTTTTCCCTGATGAAGAAGATTTGAATATTAACTCAGTTTCTTTTGACCACAAGGAAGATAATGCCATGCTCCAACAAAAAGTTAATAAGGTTGAAGTTGCTCTTGGTTATATCAGCATCATTCTAGCAATAATTACCATCTTAGTTCTGGTCATTCACTTAAGTGTGCACACCTTCTCTACACAAGGAAAGTCCTTTGAGGTCAGTCTTGTCAATGAATACATCAGGTCCCTAATCATAGGTTTTGTTGTGCTCATCATTACTGTCCCAGAAGCCCTCTCTCTAGTGGTGTCATCCTGTCTCGCATTCTGTGTCAAGGAGATGTACTATGACAAAGCATTGGTGCGACATGTGGACATGTTAGAAACAATGGGAAATATCACAAATATCTGCTGTAACAAGACAGGGGTTCTTACTCAGAATCGCATGGTAGTACAAAAGAGCTACATTGGTGAAAAAGTCTACGTTTCTGAGGGGGACCTGAGGCAGTTTAAAAGCAGCACTCCAAAGAACATGTTTGAAGATCTCTGTAAGGCTATATCCGTTAACACGAGTTATTCTGCACAGATCTTGGTATGTATAGATTTATTTCTGAGTTGGAATGACACCTTTTTGCTTGACAGACCTTTTATTTCTGCTGGTAATTATGATTAAATTTATCAGATTCCATAAGGAATGTGAATTGATTAATAGAGGTTTTTCATTGATCCAGTTGCAGAATATCTTAAGTAATTGCATATGTGTACATGTCACTTCTGGAAGCTTCATGAAACAAAACAAAGAACAGTCTCACGAAAATACGAATTGCATAAAGCAAAAAGCTGCTTATCAAACTTTTATTAGTTTTGTCACTCAACCAACCTGTCAATGATCACCTTGTTTTAACAAAACTGGTCAGTAGTGAAGAACTCCAAAAAAGAAAGTCATTTATATAACTGAAAACATCTGAAAGTTTACCACAAATAGTACTTGTTTTGTCTTTGAGCCAAGTGTGGGTTAAAAAGTGAAATATTTCAAATGTATCACAGATTGAAATGCATGATGTAGATAGTCATTATTCATCAGCCAATCAGTTTAGCCAGCAAGATTTCCACATTATTGCCATGTCAATGAAACAGGCTTTTTGCTCCTGACAAATATATACAGCAATAAATAACTTGCAACTGAAAGAGTTATTGGTCAGAACTGAAGTGTTCTACTCAGATATGTTTGAAAATTATTTTAACCAGGAAAATTTTGCAGTAAAATATATAGTTTGATCCAAGAAGATCAGTCAGACATACTGATCACAATTTATGAAGTATAGAAATTGTACAGTCTGCAGTATCAGTTATAAGATTCAAAGATTGTATGATAATATAACTTACCTCAAGATGTTAAGGAAGGGGCAGCTAATGTGCAATGTGCACACAATAATGTCAACAGTGGCATATTTTGTTTCATAACAGATTAAAAAATGGAGTTTATATTGTTTAAAAGTACACATGATTAATAAACTATACCCTCTTCCCCTTTTGTTCGTAGGAGGAAGGAGAGGATAACATTCCTAAGCAGAGTGGTGACAGGATTGATGCTGCCCTGTTACAGTATCTTTTCCAGTTTGGAGAGTACTACCAGTCTTGGAGAGATGACTACCCCCAGAGCAAATTAATCAAGGTGTTTGAGTTCACACCTGACCGCAAATGTATGAGTACTATCATCAATGATGATCATGGAGGCTATCATGTGTATTCCAAAGGAGCTGCTGAAGTACTGCTTCAACATTGCAGTCATGTTGTTGGCATCAATGGGGAGCTGAAAGAATTTACTAAGGAAGATGTAGAGAATCTGTCAAGAGATGTGATTGACCAATGGCAGAAAGAGGGATTGCGCATTCTTTGTCTAACAACAAAATATATATCTTTTGAAGGTAAAATTGTTAATCTTTTTAGCCTCACTTATACTTGTACATTTCTGTATCTTTTAGTTACACATGCATGGTCTGAGATTTGTTTATAGTTATAATTTGTACAGAATGTTGGTCACGAGCCCTCCTCTACAAGGTTGGATAGGAACATGACTTAGTTCTCCACAGTATTTAGGCAAGTGATGAACACAAAGTTCCTTCACTTTGGTGGACATATTGAAAATTTTATTTTACACTAGGGCATTTTGTTAAATGTCTATAAATTAAACCAACTTTAAGCAGTCAAGTTTTCAGTAATAAATGACAAGATATTGAAAGGTGCTTTCCCTTGAAAACAATACAATTTTTTTTTTTACAAGAATGCAGGCCAGTCCTTGACAAGACTGAATATGCATAAATTGTCTTGATACCTAAGAGTCTTCAAATTCCAACTATTCAAACCTGAAGAAACATAGAGGATAGTTAACCAATCACATTGTTTGAGAGTGGTTTTAGATTTTTTTTTATTCTCTGAAGTTTTAAGGAAATATTTGAACACTGTAATTGCCAAGCTTTAAATTTTTTTGTTATTCTTATTACAGTTTCTCCTCATCCATACTATAACAGATTCCTAAGAATTACAAGTTTAATAGTTCATTACAAAAGTATGCACAAGAAAAAAAGAAAATGCAACAGAAAACAAAGTAGGAATGAAGATCAGGGCACGGTTTAGTTATGACTAATTAGTATACACACAGTTTTAATTTCATTGACCTCTACAGAAACTGCCCTTCCTTTCAACTGTTTTTTTTTTTTTTTTTCACTTTCACTTTCTTTGATCAAGTAATATCCCAAATTAAAGATCTACAATCAGGCTACAGAGTATATGCTAGAAAAGAAGGAAATATGGATTATGTTGTTTTTATCAGCCACAAAGGTATTATAGAACTAGTTTTAGGCAACATAGATTTGTTGGCTAAAAATCACATTTGGTTCAATCAGTAGCAGACCAGAGTTGCATGGCATATTTTGAGAGTTATTATAGGAGCAGTGTCTAATTGTAGGCTGTTGTTTTATTCAAGGAGTCTTGTTGGGCATATTTGCCAAGATTTTTTCCATGTTAAAAATACTAGTTTGAGCAAATTGTGAAAATGGACATTTTTACTGGCTGTGGGTAATTGTTGAATTTTAAAAAGTGCATGGAACTTCTTAGTCTCCCTCACAGCTGTTTTTAGTCTTGTCTCGCAATGCTCCTCCCCACAAACGGCTGCTCACATTCGAACAACATTCCTTTCCCTTTTTTGCCTTTGCACCAATGAGATCACTGACATTGTTTCTTATGTGACCAATCAGAGCACAAGAGATTGTAATCAATATCGTTTTTCCCGTGTTTTCAAATTCTGCATTTGATCATAATTTCTTGATAGAGGAAATGTCAAAGAAGGTTTTGCAAAGTGATCATTACTTTATTTGTTCCACTTCAGTTGAGAAAAAGAAAAAATTTATGTTTTTCGAAAAAGTTCTTTTGATTTTCCGGTGATTATTAGTTCTTGTCAGGATGTGAACATGAGCTGCTATTCAGCGACCAGCGAGTTGTCAGTTTGTAAAACTTGCTACCAACCATTGATCAAGTTTAAAAAGGCCTCTGATCATCTTGAAGAGCTCAAAGATGAATTGAAGGGAATCTTCAAGGATTGCAAACTTCCCAGAACAAAGCACTCATTGAATGTTGAGAGCAACAGTGGACAAATTCAAGCTTAGGGCCATGGGAAAATCCTCAAAATGTTTACAATTCGATCCGATCAATACCACTTTTACTTCTAATGCTACAGCCAATTCTAGTATTTCTACCGCAATCAGCCAACAGTTATGTTATACCCCAGGAAGATTTCCTATTGGTTCTATTGGCGTGTCTCCTATTTGAAGTCATCCATACGGACTTGTGCTGGAAGCTTTCCCTAGTCGACTGACAGTAAGACCCCCGCATGAAAGCTTTGAACTCCAAGATGAAACAAACAATATGATTGGTTATATTACTTTGGTGCGCAGAGTTCTTGACATATGTAACCCGAATGGTGATTGGTTGAAGTAGCGGAAAGGAATGTTGTTGGAATGTGAGCAGCTGTTTGTGGGGAGGAGTGTTGAGTGACGAGACTAAAAACAGCTGTGAGGGAGACTAGGAACTTCTCGAAGGATATTGATAGGCATGGATAATGGTGTTTAATTTTTTCAGACATTTATTTAATACAAAGTACCAAAATTTGGGATCAAAAGTTATCAATTGTTAGAAAGGGCAGTTTCCAGAGAGGTCTGACCAAATTCAAAGGATTAAAGATCTAATTAGATTTAGCTTCTCTTGTTACTAACTGTGAGTGATGCATAAATGTTGAAGAAACTCAGAATTGTTCAAGAGCAACTCTTGTACATTTTTAGTTGAAATGCCACCAATTGAAGCCATCAGGCAGACCACTTTGTTGAACTTATCAGTTACAACTTCTAATCTTTGTTATATGAAATATTTTTGCTATTTCACTCAAAGATATGGTGTAGAGTTTCACTTTCAATAACTGACCAACTGTTTTTGTTTTTTTTTCCCCCAAGATGGTGAGGAGCTATTGAAGAAAAAAGAAAGTGAAATTTTGTCAAGTTTGACACTCCAGGGGATTGTTGGCATCAATGATCCAGTTAGAGAACAGGTTTGGTGCTCGTCAGCAGATGGTTTGTGCTATATTTCTCTTTAACCTGAATTTAGTGTTGTAACCATTAAACAATAATATTTGTTCATTTTTTCCTATTATCAAAATTATTTCAGGTTTTTCTTTTTTCATGAACAGTATACTAGTTACATTAATAAGTTAAAAATATTAATTTTAGGTAGTTAGCTCATAAAATTGTTCGCAACAGTAAGGTTTTTTTTTTGTGAAATATATCATACATAATTATCTTTATTTCAAGGTACCATATGCAATTGGGCAATGTCAGAGAGCTGGTATAACTGTGCGCATGGTGACTGGTGACAATGTAATCACTGCTACATCTGTTGCTGTCAAATGTGGCATCATCAATAAATCCGATGAAGAGAGTTATGTGTATGATGGGAAAGAGTTCAACTCCTATATCCACGACCCTGACAAAACGGTAATTACCAGGTCTCTAAAAATCTGCTAATAACAGGAGCAAGTACTGAAGGTTACATTTTACTTTGTTTTTCTCAAGTTTTAAAAGAAGCTCAATTTTGACATGACTTAACTTTCTAAAGTACAGTTACATAGTTGAGAATTTTTAATAATGTACAAACTTACTTAGAAGCAGCCTGGCTTGATTTGCCAAAAGGCAACCAACAGTGGACCCAATGTGATTGAGAGGGTGGCAAAGGGTTTACACCTAATGCAAAAGGCAACCAACAGTGGACCCAATGTGATTGAGAGGGTGGCAAAGGGTTTACACCTAGCGCAAAATTAATTATCATGGTAATAGGAATGAGTGGAGTCCAATTCAGTCTGTAATCTTAAAAGTGGTTAACAAAATTGGAGAACTGCATGAGGGGGGGGGAGGGGGATACCAATTTGTTAATCATGAGTATGACTACAGAAAGAATTGGACAACATGAAGTCCTGTTACCAATCAATCAAAACTATGTTTATACTTTTTCATCAAGCAACAGCAAAATTCACCACAACAATGGGCATGCATGTGATGCATACATACACGGGCATGGCATGCGAACTGTCCAGTTACAAGCATGACCCATACAATGTCCCATTGGTGTTTAAATTGGGCTGCTGATTACCAATCACATTGAAGAATTTTGTTATAGTTTTGATTAAGCCCAAAATTAATATGTGGCATATGAATTCTATAGATTTGAAATTTTCCTTTTAAATTTGTGACATGTGAAATGTTCATAGTACACATAGTACATGTGATACTTGAATTTTTCTAAAACTTGTGTGTTAAACTTTCCTTTCCTGTCTTCTACTGTTCCACATGCTTTAAGTTTTGTACAACATAATTGTACTGGTCAAAAGAATGCTGAAAGTATATTTGGAATAGGCATTTTGATAGCCCAAAGTTTGCTCAGAAACATCTAATTTGAGATTTTATCCTTAGATTAATACTGACCGGTTTAATACCATGTTGCCCAAGCTATGTGTACTGGCAAGAGCAACACCCTTAGATAAGTACGTTTTAGTGAAAGGAATGATGGAAAGTCATGTAAAAAGTGCTGGAGAGATTGTGGCTGTGACTGGATCAGGAGCTAATGATGGGCCAGTCTTAAGAATGGCAGATGTTGGTTTCACCATGGTAAGTGTGCTATGAACAGTACTGTTTTATTTTATACATTGCTAATTCTATATTTTATTGGTATTAGTGACCTTACTGTACATACTAGTCAAATAGCCTATTATGTATGATCATTGTGCCTTTAGATTATCTACAAGCTATAAGTTTAGTTTGGACCCATCAGCCATGTAACAGGGCTTGACACTAATAGTAGCCCACTAGCCACAGACTAGTAGAAATTCCATTTTGGCTAGTGGTTTTCAATTTCCACAAGCCAGTTTGGCTAGTAAACAGACTGAAATTGTCGTAACATCTAAAAACATCTAAGATATCACTAGCCACTTGGCTAGTAAGTTGAAAAGTTAGTGTCGAGCCCTGATGTAATCTGATGAGACCAGTGTTGGTTCTTATGCAGATACAGTTGTGCTGATACAGAGTAACAAATATGGTCTAATTATGTTACTCTGCATGGAAATTGTAGCTGTTTGTGTTATTTTTGTATGTTACTTGGTAATGTATCTCTTGCTACTCTGTTTTTTGGACTTTTTTTAGTTGTTGGAGGGGTTATCAGCCCTGTGGCCAGTCCTTTAATAGGAGGGCCAGGAGATATGTCTAAAATATGCCAACTAGGTGTGTTGTATGAGGAATGTATGAAGCGCGATACCCTCTTGCAAATTTTGCACACTGCTACATCCTCCTACAACACACTTAGTCGGCATATTTTCGGGCAATATCGACTACAACCTTCCCAAACAAGTGAAAATGTGTGAAATGCAGACCTTCGTGTTCTTGATTTGACGTCACATTACCTGCTAGAGCCATTCCTCTTTAAACTCCATTGTGGGGCAAGATGGCGACCAATTTTCTGCATTTTGACTGGGCACAGAAAATTCAAGATTTGAGCAAATTAAAAAAAATTTTGCACAGAAATACTCCAAAAAATAAGCTTATCTCGTTAAGCGAAAAAAAAATTTGGGGGTTTAGGTGCACTTGAGTGCACTTCGTATGATTTGATGACCACAGAATTGTGCACTAGTTTGCCTTCTCAATTCTGTGATTGAATCAAAATGCAGTTTCTGGCTATATAATAAAGAAGAGCCAGTGAATTAACAAAAGTGGCCAAGTGCACTTTGCCTGGTAATCTTTTTCTTTTGCATAATTTTCAAGTGGTGTTACAGTCTTGGTATTGTAACAGTCATCTGTGTGTTTCAGGGAGTGGCAGGAACAGACATTGCTAAGGAAGCCTCTGATGTCATCTTGTTAAATGATGACTTCAGCAGCATTGTAAGTGCTATCAAGTGGGGACGTCATATCTACCACACTGTCCTAAAATTCATGCAATTTCAGTTTACTGTCTGCTGGGTTGCTGTTATTGTGGTGATCTTTGGAGCAGGTCTTGTGGGGGTAAGTTCACTATACTGTTCATGATAAACAGGATTGCTTATCCAGATTATCCATAAATAAATACACCTTGGAGATTAATCATCCCTGCAACCCTCTTCTAAATAGAAGGGATTAGAAGGTCTAAGTTTCAAACTTGCTGGCTCTTGGTTTTGAGATAATTTTTTTAATGCCTTCTATAAGAGTAGCACAAACTGTTACATGTCAAGGCATTTTATTTGTGGGGTGACCTAGGAGCTTTTCATCCCATGCGCAAGTAATGATGTTAACGGCAGCAAGACTGAAGGATTGTAAAAAGCGATTGGTTTGTTTCAGAAACTGCTTCCCACTTTCCATTTCAGCTAGATTTACTGGCTTGGTATTTTTCTGCTGTTTTTAACATGTGGCTTTGCAGCTTTTAATGTCACCTGGTATGATGTTTTTCCATTACTTAGTTACTTTCCTTTTCAGAGGAGCCCATTGGTAGCTACACAGCTGCTTTGGATCAATCTGATAATGGACACACTGGCCTGCTTTGCCTTAACAAGAGACACTCCCATTGACAGACTCATGAATTACAAACCTTATGGTCGTCACAAACCGCTGATTTCTCGCACTTTGCTCCGCAATGTGATTGGTCATAGCGTGTATCAGCTGGTTGTCATATTTTTGTTGATCTTCAAAGGAAGTGACTGGTTTGACGTTGCAGATGGTTTCCATTCAGAGACATTGTGTATGCCCACTCAACATGCCTCCATGGTGTTCACAACATTTGTGCTCATGCAGCTGTTTAACGAGATCAATGCTCGAATGCTTCAAGAAAGGAACGTCTTCCTTGGAGTTTACAAAAACTTTGCTTTCCTCATCATATGGTTTGGACAGTTGGCAATGCAGGTGATTTTTGTAGACTAATTTCATGACTAGGGTTCATCAGTCATTGTGCTTCTTCTTACCCTCTTAAAATAAAGTTAAATGTGATAACAAGTATAACCATTATTTCTTGACTATCAATATTATTATGGTAAAC